AGTTTGGAAAGTTTACTATCAAAAGTTTTAGGCTTAAGGGCGGATGCAAGACCAAAAAACCTTTGATTATAATTGTTTAGTTTTCCAAGGGTTTCTTCAGGAAATTTGTTTAGAAACAATAAGATAAAAATAGATAAGAAATCTTGGCTTAACAATTGGGTATTCAACCACTCTAGGATTCGATTGTAATCAAGTTTATTAAATTTGTTCAATGCAACACATCGACACTAAATAAATGATTGTTAATTTATTATTATCACTAAATGATTATTTTAAAGATAAAAAAAAAATAACATTATTAAACAAAAATTCTAGAAATGTAACGAATGATAAATTATTAGATGATACAGTGCTCTCCAAAAGTTAGTTGGAATATTCAGGTAAAAATTCTCAGGTATTCTTTTTTTACTTGTGGGATATTAATATGATTATAAATTGCAAATTTTCTATTATCCTTCTAAAAGAAGGCACTTTAAGAATTTTATTATCAGTCATCTAGTTTTTTTTTTATTAGCCAATTACATTTTATCTATATTATTTTCTTGAAAAATTCAGACTGAAATGGAGCAGCTTTAAAAAATAAATAAGGAGAGTAATAGTTACTACACAATCAACCATTAGTTAAGTGGGCTATATCTCGTGTTGAAACCTACCTCAAGGAATTATTTTAGGTTGAAAGTAGTTTATGGTAAATATTTTTAACTATCTCTATATTGAATATATTTTAAAACAAGGACTTAGCACACATTATCAATGATAAATGATTTACAGATAGGCTTTTTAAAAATGACAAATTAAATAGACGAAATGAAGCAGAAAGGTAAATGACCACTAGTAGATAATATCAATGTTTGAGCATCAAGCTTTGTTTTTTTTTCTTTCTTTCATAAACTTATTTATTTATGTTATTCATGAAATGCAGTTTGAGTTTGTTTATAATAAAGTTATAGTTCAGATAAATTTAGATGAATAGCTTTATTAATATTCGACAAAAATGATGTTATTTAAGTGTATTTGCAATATTACATAAGTAATCGGTTATGTATTAAATAATTCTTCATAAGAGATAATTATTAACATGAATATATAAGGATGTAATTTCAAAAAATAGTTAAGAGTGAAAATGGAACTCGAAAGATTTATTATAATCTGAATTTTAAGATGCAAAATTTCTTTTTTATCTCGTAAGCTCACGATTTTAGTTTTTTTAAATTGAATATTTCGAATGTTTTTGTTATTAATAAAATAATAAATAAGAGTACTTTAAGAATTTAAATAAACAATTTAAAAGTTTAAAATACCCTGGTGGAATAAAATCTCGCCACTTTCATTTTTACTTGACCAGAGTTTTACTAAAAGTATTTAAATAAATAAATAAAATTTAAAAGAAGAGAATTAATATGTGGTTTTAATAGCTACGAAGTAGTTTTAACTAATTAATTATTCATATAAAACACCTTGAGTAGTTGTATTTATTTTCAATGAAACCTTTTAAATAGCACAATCAGCTAAATATGTATAATAATGAATTATTAATAAACAGAAAGTAGAATGGAACGTTTGCTGATATAAATATTCGCTATTCTAATTTTTATAATAATAATAATAATAATAATAATAATAATTTCCAAGCATTCAATAGAGTCACATGTTCTTATTCTTATTGAGATAAATAATTTGACAAATTTTAAATTAACAACAATAACCAATCACTTACAATGAATGATATAAAAAAATATTTACTTTGTTTCTATCTAAATAAAGATAATACATTTATATTAATATTGTGGAAGAGAATAAATAATAGGAAATGTAACATCACTTCCTATATAAATACTTGATATCGTGATGCTTTTTTTTTTTAATACAGTATCTATTTTTAGTTGACTTAAACAGTTATTCTTGTTGATAATATACGTACGTAACATTTCGATTTTTATTTACAATTATATTTTATTCTAACATATATAATACTCATTTTGTAACGTGGATTATATTTTTATTTACTTGAATTAAATTTATTTATATTAAATCATTTTTATTATGACATTTTGGTGAACTATTTTTGTGAATATGTCGAATTAGTTTTATATGAAGACATGAATTTAATTATTTTATTTATTTTATGCTGTGACATAATTTTAATTCATTTTAACGATAAATAATCACTATTTAATTTTCAATCAGTATTTTATTCAAATTTAATATCGATAATTAACAATATTAATAATAATTAATATTTTATTATTGATAAAATTATTTTTAAAGCTTTCATTCAGTTGTTCTCCTTTAAAACAACAAAAAAAAAAGATTAAATAATGACGTGACACATATTATATTAATAAAAAAATTGATTGTTTTATATTATAAAAAAAAAAAAAATTCAAATTAAATTCTTTTTTAATCATATAGAGTGAGGAGAAAAGTTTAAATTTGTAATAAAACTTTTACATTACTACTACTATAATGAAAGCAGAAGTTTTCTAAAAAGTTACGTTGTTATATTATCAAATTTTTTTTCAAGGTTTTACCATTTTTTAAATTAAACTTTTAATCGATACGAAAAAAAAAGCTCGCATAGTATATATCAAGGTGATTGATTTCTCAGTCATGTGTCACATTTGAAGCATAAATAAATGTAACGACGAGCCCACTAATATGATCGCTGTTTGATCAGTCAAGCACGTGTGGATCTTGATCGAATTTCAGCACACGAGAGAATATCTTTATTCAGAAGTCACTGAAGTTTTAAATCCCCACGTGTTCGTTTAAAATGCTACTCAAGTGTGTTATGAATAACGATATTATATATTTAACATGAATAACAAGCATAATAATAAATCGATGAAAATCCTGGTGAAATTAGATGAGTTGATATGATGGTTAGAAAGTTGAGGTGAATTTATCAACATTTGCATAAAATGATCATCTTGAGTTTTTTATACGTCAGCATAGCTAGTGTTTCTTAAATATATATCATTATTTATCATCAGCATTTTCGAAGTTATTATTTCTTATGTAACTCAAGTATTATGGAATGTCTATGTAACGAAATTAAAATTGTCTATTATTCAAAGTTTATTGCAAGCAATAATTACAAATGAAAAAAATTTTTTCTGGGGTGAAAAGTGTTTTAAAATGTAGCTTAAAGTATTAAATTGTGTCTAGTAGGGAAAATTTGATCAAAAGATTCTAATTTTAGATCTTAAGAATCCAGTTTAAGCACAATTTTAACTCCAAAAGAAATTGATGTTTTAATATTGAAAGAAAAATTTGTTTTTTGAAGGTAAATAAATATATTATTGAATTTTTGTATCGAATTGACATTCACTTACTTTGAATAATAGTTTATTTCATTATGAATTATTGAATAATGATATTACATAAAATTATTTAAATAAAAATTACTATGATTTATTGAATAAACTGCTTACTTTATTAAGAGAATCGTAATTTAGTAAATAAACTTTCTCGAGTAACAGCTAATCTTTCTCCAATGTAAGTATTGCGATGAATAAATATGATAAAAATTAATAAGTTAAGTAGAAGTGTTATAAAAAATGTATAGAAAATCGATGCCAGTGTTATGTTATTATTCATACACGACAATAGAAATTGATTATGTCTGATTATTTATTACTGAAATAAAGCATTTTAATATTTATGTTAATATTACTGGTTGTAATGATAGGGTTAGAGATTCATTTGACAGACATACACCCAAGTTGATAATTTTTTTTTAAATATTAAATATAATTAGATATTACAAAATACATTGTTTTTATTTTTATTCAATTCATGTAAATAAAAAAATGAGAGATTGATTTTTTTAAGTATAAATATGTTACCATATTCAGGTTGATGTTGGAGATTAGAGTGAACGCTGAAGATCATAAGATTGCTAAAAGTATTACATGCAATATTCAAAGCAAGTAATTTGTGATTTATATTTTTATTAAAGGTTTATCAATTATTTATGAATATTGTTAAATAATTATTTTAAAGTTTGAACTCGAAAGTGTTTTAATACATTTTAAGAATCTTAATGTTATCATTCAAATGTTTAGTCTGAGCATTTGAAAAATTTATCTGAACTGTACTTACATCCTGTCATAATATTGGTTTCACCTAGCAAACAGTTTTGAAGGGAGTCCAGAAATGAGGTCGTGAGTTGGGGTTTGAGTTTAAGATTTCACATAATACCTGTGATGATAGTTTGCAAGAAAGAATCGTTTTTAGTTTCTTATCATTAAAACAAAAGTAAATGAACATTATTTTTAATTTTTAACTATTTTTATTTCAACAATGTTGAAGAATATAAATATAATAATAATCATTAATAATATTTTTTAGCTTTTTCCAATTCTTTTATTATGTAACACCAGTTTTGGAAAATTTACAGTCATTGGGTTCCAATGACAAATAAAAGCCACCAAGATTTCAAATTTATGCATAACAAGGTCTTTGTTCTAGCAAGAAAGGAAACAAAAAACCTTCATTTTCTAAAATTTTCTTTGATGATGTAAATTCTTAAACACAAACTACAATATGTGGATAACAACCTATCGATCACTTTCCCCAAGAAAGGAATCTTTTCTCCAATCTATTTTCCTTTATGCTAAACACATCCAAACAGTTAAAGTAATTTTTTTTCACCAAATAAATCAACGACCTAAAAAAAAATGCACCAATAAAAATTTTCATCATTTTTCCTATCCTCTTTAAAAAATGTCTCCACTTCCCTTGACGATTCATGGAGCCTTGTTTAAATGACAATGAATCCTAAATTTAGAAATTCCTACAAAAGAATGACCTGAAAAAAAGCATGGACGATGGATGTGTAAAATATCTTGATATTTCGAAAATATAAAATCTTTTATGCTCCATCCTTCTCCACACACTTCACATCATTCCCTAGAGAGTCTTCTAGACCAATGTATAGAATCAGCAAGAGCTTTAAGATTAACTAAGAAAACTGACGCTCTTTGAATTTTTTTCAGGCAGCTGCGTGAGGGCACACTCAAGGAAAACCATCTCCAAGATGGCAGTCGGTTGACGTTACTTCCCAGTGTAGAAACTGGTCTTATGGTAAGTATCTCTTAATACATTTATACATATTTGATGATACTTTGTGGTATTAAGCTGTAAATGAACTAGTCTACTTCATCGTATTTCTCATGATGATACTTAAAAATAACTATTTGTCTAAGAACTTCATAATAAATACTAAACTTTATTTCTCATTAATGTGAAAATGTTATTGAAAAGTAAAATTTTAAAAATAATTGACTATTTATGAGAGTCATAAAAACATTTCTTCAAAGTTCATGCTGATGTGCAGCATTCGTATGTGATGACGTGGCTTTTTCTGACATTCTTTGGATAATAACCAACCATCTAGTTAGAAAAAATGAATCAAAAGAATATTCTCCACACTAGGGACTCATGTGGACAAAATATTTTTCAAATGAATCTTGATTTTGAAATAGAAATTACTCTTTTTATGATGCTGGATAATGATGTCTTTGAATTATTTGATGAATTGTTGACAGCCAATTGAAGACAGCCTGCTATTATGGATGTATAGAATTTTTATTTATGTCATATAAGTGTTTTGAAAAAATTATTTTGTAATAGATAATTATGATGATATCTTTATTGAACATTTATGTAAGAATAGTCACTCAATTTTATCAATTATTGCATCAATACTTCTCCATCTCCAACTTGTATCCAAGTCAATTTTTAATTCATCTTCAATCTTTTGATGTTCTTTGCTAGCATTCCAACTATTCTATTATTTAATGATCAATTTTTTTTTATTATTATTGATTACTCACTGTTTCATGTCTGATCATTCTCACCTTTCCACTGTTTATTGATCATCATGAGCAAGTAGAATTACTCTCAAGGGAAAACTCATGTTGGAGATGATCAATAGTACCACTTTTACTTTCATTCCAATTATGACAGCTAAATTTTACTGAAAAAGGTTTTTGAGTATAACAAATTGTGTGCATCGAATAAAAAATACCAGACAAAAACTATAAAACTTTAGCATTCAATTTTTCAATGTTTAGAAATGTTTTTAAATAGACTCCACGATTTATATAATTTGTGTATGGCATTTTACACTGAATGCACTTGATAGATTTTAATTTAAAACGTTTTATGTGCTCTATTTTCCAACACTTACACTTGTACTAAAACATTGGGAATAATAAAACAGCAGAATATAAATGATCTTTAATTTAAACTTTTTAATGAATCAATTGAGCTGCTATTTTGTTTTTAGAAATAATTTTGCTTTTCTTGCATTACATAATAAATTTTAGTTATTGAATTAAAGATATTTTATTGTAGTAATTTATTATTAGATTTATAAAGGTATTCATTTAATTTTAGTAAATAAAAAAAAAGCCATTCATATTTTTTTAATTAATCAGAATTAAATCAAAACTTTTAATAACACTTTGGAATCTTTTATAAGCCCTTAATCTCTTATTCTAGAGTTATCAAGGGTTATAATTTTATGATGGAAAGATTATCCATAAAATATTTCACCTTAACGACTTTTCAGTATCATAACCATCAATAATATCTAAATATTTTTATTCAAATAAATTCTCACAGTTATTTTATTAACAGTAGCTTAGTCTAGCTTTTAAGCTTGAATTGTTTCTAACGGGCTTTTAATAAAACCGTAAAGTTAAAAAATTAACTTGAATATAATCTTTGTTATTTATTATTATAAGTTAAAGACTGACAATGAGATTTAGTTTCCATTTATAATTGAAACCAACTTCTATAAGCTCTTAATCCTTCACCATATTCTGTCTTTTATTTCATCATTTTTAAATGGTCTTTTTACACCATTGATTAAATGAGTTATTACTCTCACAGGTTTTAGTCCATTCAAATGTTACTTTGACAAAGTTGTTGTCAAGACTTTGTTTAGAGATCTAAAAAAATTGTAATGTATTTGAATCTTTATTCTGTGATACTTTGAAAAAATACCTTCATCTTCTGGGTAGAGTCCAAGTACTGGTCTGTTTACTCTATCAACTTTTGTGCTGCTAACTCACAGTCAATCCAAGTGCATTGAAACAACACACCTAAAGTGCTTCAATATTGAATTTCCATTCACCAATTATAGCAGCATTATGCAGTTCTTTTCTATCCACATCAAGAGGCATTTAATTCTATCATTTATTCATGGAAATTTATCATTGGTAACACTTTATATATGATGATATTATTATAATGGTGGAAAATTAATAATCATTATAAAATCCACTTGAAGTGTGCTTGTAATCAGTGGACACTAGCTCCTGATAGATCCTGATGGTAGGCCTAGTGGTTTGCATTTTTTTTTTAAATCTACATGTTTCGCTACTTCTGTCCAAGATCGTTGATAGCTGATTCTGTTGATATATCTCGTGCTGAATTTCTTCCTTGACAGTACTCATTCCAAGGTCCTTGTGAATATTTTCATTTGTTAAAGAACCAAGGAGCATTTACTAAGACTCTGTGAACTTTGGATTGAAGTCGTTGTATTACTTGGATTGAGCTAATACATGCTGAGCTCCTGGATGCCATACTTCCAGGTTGGCTTGATGATAACTTTGATGTTATTGAAGTGATTAATTTGAATTAAAATAGAGTGGATACTTTTTTTGACTTTTCTTATTAATTGCAACTATTAAATCTTGATCCAACCAATTGTTTACTCAATTTTCTTCTTCAATAATTGTTTCAAATGAACGTGTGCGAGTAAAATCTCCACACAGTTGGTAACAATAATTAAACAAGGAATGCGTTGTACAAATATTCGTTGTAATATAACGGCTAGGGAATTAAAAAATAATCAAGAACGGTTAACAGGTAGTGGAGTAGCAAAGAGTGCGCGAATTCCTTGTGGAGCAGGCAACTCGTGCTCTGGATAAACGCCGTTAACTCTAGTGCACGAGTATCGGTTGGGTCACTTGGTTTCTCGGTCATCATATCGCACTTTATTCACCTCCGTTGCAGCCACAGCGATTGCGCGACAACGTTACTTGCCTCGTGCTTTCAACGTCGACTAAGGAGTTGAATTACGCCTTTACTTTTTATCTATTCATTCTTTATATACATTCAACTGTGATAACGTTTAACTTCTGGTATAACTACCATTTACAATCCGTCACGAAGTCCACTTTTTTTTGTATAATATACAATAAAATGACGTCAAAGAATTGATACAATGATTAATATTTTATTGATTACGAAAAGAAGACATGGAAATGTTAAGTTTTACGTACGTATTATTGTATGTCCAGTTTTTTTGAAGATATCGACTCCAGACAAATTTCATTTGAAAGATAATACATTGAAGAAAATCTGGAAGAAGTTTAAACAAATTTGAGACAGCCATTCTTTTTTAATAACAAAAAGACTATAAAATGGATGAAGTAAATGATATGATAAGAATTATTGAAAAATTTGTTGAATATTGATGAAATATTGTTGTTAATGATTTTATATGAAATTTATTGTGTTGGCACAAAGTGCATCTAGATGCATTTTTTAATTTTATTTATGATTGTTTTTTGATTTATAAGCAAATGACAACAATGAATGGATAAAGTTAAATCAAATAACTGAACATTAAATACAATTTTACATTCTACATTATTCAGTTCAATTTTATAATTAAAATGGTTGAAAATATTGAATAAAATATAAATGTAAAGTACCTCTTAATTTATCAATGACGAGCTTTTTTATCATCACAATTGTTTTAATAAAATTACTTTAATATTTATCTAGATTGTTTATGTTTTTATATTCATGCATTATTGTTGGAAGTGGTCTCTGCCAATTTAAGTATTAAATCTCTCAACACTTGACAGTTATTTGTAAATATTACTCAGAATTTTAGATATAAATTTCGTCACTATCAACATCATCATCATAACAACGAAAGCTATATAATTTATTATTACCCGGAAATTAACCTAATCATGAAAAATTATCAAAAAATATCAGCTTTGTTATCGATTTTATCGATTGTGTCTTGAAAACTTTACTGTGTCAACGTGCTTCAGAAGTTAAATGGAACATACTATCTCGAAAATTAAACAATTCAGTAACTTTCATTTCAAAAGATAGTCAATTTTTTTTGTATTGCTATGCTACGATTGAAAGTTATTAAAACTCATTATTAAGATTATTTAATAACAAAATAAACTTTTTAATTTTCATTAAAAGAGAATTTTATTTAATCTCGTTTAAAGTGATATAATGATATTTCCTTGGTAGTTTTTAATATTGAATATTCCAGAAGTATGATATGAAATATATGTATCTTATAAAATATATGTTGAACAGAATCTACTCTGTAGCAATGATCAACACAGTAGTGCACGTGAACGAAAGAAAAAAGGCTTGATAGAGAAAGACATTCCAATGCAGAAGTTGTTTTAATGGAAACTATTTCAATGGGGTTTTTTTTAATTGAAAAGCAGACGGTTTAGTTATCGATCTGTCATAATAGAAAAATTGAGTTCAAATAGAAATACAATTATTTCATTGAAATTAGACAATAAAAAAGAATGATTCACTAAATAGAAATACGTCAATTGGAAATAAATTCAATAAAAAATTATGAATGAATTTTTTTTTAATTCAAAAGTTTCACCAACCTCGAGGTCAGCAATTGAGAAAGAGAGTTCGGTTGGAAAACGAGAAATAAAAAACATTGAAAACCAACTTTTTGCAAGGTTAAACTTCCAAGTTAAAGTTCACATTGGTGCATTCATGGTTAAAATGTATTTAACTATCAAAATTAGTTTTTCGATCAATAAAAGTCATTACAACAATTGTGATATTTTTTTTTTTTTAGTCAAAACAATTAAAAAAAAAAAAAAAGAAATCTATTTTCATATCTTACAATACTTTGGAGTAAATAATTCAATACAACTATTTATTTGTTTATCAGAAAATTATTTTGGTATTAAATATCAAAAGATAAATAAAATAAAATTAAAGAAATAATTACCATTGATAAAAAGATAATTTTCAAAAAAAAAAAAATAGAATACTTTGTA